CTGCGGCAAACAGCGCGGAGGCGGAGGCGGAGGCGGAGGCGGTGAATGTCGGCAACAAAGAGTTTCACGGCAATGGAGATGAGGAGATCTGAAAGGTGATAAGACCAGTCGGTTGCTTTACAATTTTTTTTTATATTCACGGCGCCTGGCAACAGCTGGCAAGCACCTTTGACTTTCTGGCGATGAAGTAATTATAATGTGGTTGAAAGCGTTTGCAAAATTTAATGCGGAAATAAATTATAGCTGTTTTAAAATAAGAGAAATTATTATGTGGGGTCATCAGAACGAGTCAATCAAGAAGCATCATATAATTTGATACAAAACATTTCAAAGTAATGATATACAATAAATCGATAATGTGACGTGTCCTGATTAACTTTATAGGTAATTTTAAAACATGAGAAATTATTATGTGGGGTGGGGTGTAAACGAGTCGAGTTTTGACACTATCGAGCTCGGCTAACCAGTCGGAAAGCGAGCTCGAGCTCAAGTCGAGCTCAAAAGACGAGCTCGAACTCGTCACACTATTAACGAGCTCGAGCCGACTCAAGAGCAGCTTGATTATGATTAGATTTCGCATTTTTTCCGTCTAATTTTTCATTTTGCCGCCTTATTTGTTCGTATTTCAAAAAGTAGAAACACTAGCATTTTTTTTTTTACCTGAACCTGCAACAGCTCTTTTTTGGGAAAAGTAACTAATAGTTTTTTATTCATATTTTTTAATAACTTTTCTCATATATTAAAGAAGATGAGACACAACTCCCCTTGGTCTATTGGTTGAGAGCTTAGGCTTCCAAGTAAGAGGTCCAAGGTTCGAGTCCATGTGTATGCGTTGTGTGTGTGAGTTTGCCTTAAATGGCCTAAATGTCCCAAAAAAAAAAAAGAAGATGAGGTATAGGCTCTCCTATATCGCCGAAATAGGTATATTTTATTTAAATAGGTGTCCTTTTTTAAAAATTATCTTATAGGCAGAAATAGGTAAAGAGCATTTTTTTTTTTTGAAAATAAAAATATGTTTGCTAATTAATTTAATTAATTAAATAATTTCGAGCCTGCTCGCGAGCTCATGAGCTAACCCTCAACCAGCTCGAACTCAAACTCGTTTAATAAACAAGCTCGAGTTGAGCTCGAGCTCGAGCTCGAAGCTCGATAAGCTCGGCTTGCGAGCTCGTTAACAAGTCAAGTTCGAGCTGGCTCATGAGCCTGCTCGTCTCACTTACACCCCTAACGTAGGGTCATCAGACCGTTCAGAAGCCAATTAGGAAGCATCATATAATTTGATACACAACATTACAAAGTAACGATATACAATAAATTAATGATGTGACGTGTCCTGATTGACCTTCGAATAACCTTAATAAATTATAAGTAATTTTAAAATAGGATAAATTATTACGTGCAGGGGTCGTCAGGCTGTTCGGAAGCCAATCGGGAAGCATCATATAATCTTATACATAGCATCACACAGTAACGATGCACAATAAATTGTTGATGTGACGTATATTGATTGACCTCCGAACGATCGTGATTAACCTACGAACGACGTTCGACGACTATACTTAATAATTTGGCCAAACAAACGTAGAGGTCTTTTTAATTATGGATACGAATATAGTAATTATTCAAAGATATTAATATAGTAATTATTAATAAATACATGCTGAAATAAATAATGCGGTCCTCTCTAGGCAAATCCCTACATAAATTTAAAGGCCAAATTTTATGAAGGAGCGTGTTTGTTGGCACATTCATTGGAAGCAGTTTGTTTAAATTTTTTTTTTTGAAACAGAGCTAATACGCTATACTGTTCAGCACATATAATGAATGTGCGGTACTGATTGGCGCATTCAAAGAATGCGCCGAACTTAATGGCGCATTCTTTAAAAGCGCCTAATGTTTAAGCGCATTCCGTACAGCGCATTATTTAGAATACGCATTTTCGTTCAGCGCATTATGTCTAACAGCTGTTTCCAGCTCGAATTCAGCGAGTTTTTGTCTATAGCGGGGACAAGATCCTGATTTTACGCAGTTCATGTGCTCAGTTGCGGAAATTGATGGTGGCCGTTGAGTGGGTGGTTGGCAGATGATAATTACTTTAAATGCGGTGGGTAGAGAAATCACTATAATCCTCAGCTGATCTAGAAGCGGCACCCACCCCAGAAACTTCCTAATCCGCATTTGATTGGGCCCCACTTAAGAGTTACTACCGCTCGAGGTGAATCGAGTACGGGTTCGGAGGTTACCAATCATACTCGCCAAACAACCAAGCTTAAGCGATGATGGGTTGTCTTAGAATTTCAAGTATTAAAACATAAATTTAATATTTTTTAATATATTACTATGATTGTTTTTTTAGAAATTAAGAGTTTAAATAAAATTAACAATATTAAAAAGATGAGAAAAATACGAATATATAAAATCCTAAATAGAAAGTTGTAAAGCTAGAGCTAATAAAACATACACTATATATATATATATATATATATACATAAAAAATGAACATAACTTCATGTAAAAAATATAGTATAAATTTGGACCACTACAAACAAACATGGAACAATAGGAGGTTGGATGCCCTAGATCATAAGGCAATGAAGTGGCCCGACTCGAACAAATTAGGGAATCTTACAGGTCAGGACAAGACATAATCAAATGAGTCAACATCGAAAAAAGAAAAGATGACCAAGCACAAATAAAGCTAAAAACCACAATGATGATCACAATCGATCCAAATGCACTTGAGTTTGATCTAGCCCACAACTCCTCTTCACCTTCATCCACGTACAGGAGAAACTGTGTGTATAAGGGTTATTTGTAATATGTTCCTACTGAATTTTACTTTTTGCTCCCAATCAACATTTTTTTTCACGTAATTTGTCTCTTCAAAAACCGGAAAGCCTCATGACATCCTACTATTTTCATCCAATTATGTTGAACTTTCTAACACAAACAAATAAATCTATGAAAAGATATTATGTGTAAAATAAATTATTTTTGCACCCTTATATATATTTTTATTTATTTTTATATATTTGTCATTTGTCTCCCTGAGAATTAAGGTTGATTCGGCCCATGCCTTCATCCTTTATTACCTTCAAAGTATGGAATATGAATGCTTTATCTTAATTTTTTTTTATTTTAAAATATTAGATCATCTTATGAAAGAATGTCTACTTCTATTTCTTCAAATGATAGCTCAAATAAGTGAGGAGAACATAATTTTTCTTTGTAAATATATATAATTCAAATTAATGCATTTTCATTTAGTTATCGTTTGGGAGAACTTTTGACCACTATTTTTTGCTGATTTTATAAAAATTTTGTACTAAAAAACTATTATATAAAGCAGTAAGAAAGTTATCCCAAATGAAATTTAAATGAAATTTTAATTTCAATTTAAACTTTGGATATTACAAATTAATCCAACACATTCTAAAGAGAAGCCTAACATAAATTCTCATTTTCTACAAACAAAGATCTACAATAATATTAACATATGGAGGAGACAAAAACAAAGACAAGCAAGTTAATTACTCCATTATGAGAATGAAGTACTTAAGTACTTTTGCATGAATGTGCAAAGAGAAAAGAAACAATTTTTAAATTTTTATATTAATTGTTCTGTTTTTCCCTTGCTACCTCTTGTAGATGCATTGCACATGAGATATGATCAGTGCTTTCCCTCAGTTCTTCCCCCTTTTATTATCAAATGCTATGTTGTCGGCTCAAATGGGAAGAAATGCATAAATTTCCTAGGGCATCTCTAGTCGAACTGCAAATGTCTGTTTATAGCTATCGGGAGCTTTCGTTCGAATGACAAAAAAAAACGTATTTTGTGACTGTGAACAGGTGTTGCAGTACTCACCAAAATCAAAATTTTTATCGAAAATGAAGATAAGAAAGAATCTACATGGAATATCCTATTTTGATGTTAGAAATGGAGTTCGTTGGGAGACGAATTACTGTTTGATATAGCTATTACTATATTTTGAAATGAAAAAATGAGGAGTTCGGTAGGAGATGCATTTATAGCATATAGAGGTGAGAGCGATTCGGCTCAAGCTTAAAATCTTCTCATAGATCAAACTGAATAAATTTTGACCTTACATGACTATAATTTCGAGTTGGATCAATTTGATCCAAGTTTAGCTCAAAGATTTGACCAAGTAGAAGTCTTGACTCTAGATTCCGCTCATTTAGCTCGATCAAAATTCAATTGGAGCTAAAACTTGACCAATGTTTCGTTTGGTATGTCTTTCTTATTGCTTTGCTTTTCAGATGACAACCATAATTTTTGTTTGGTTTCTACTTTCAATAAATTTTTATGTTTGGAAGCTGTTTTATACAGCAACTTTCAAAAAAGTTGCTTTCACCACAACAACCTTTATAAAAAAATTACAGTCATTCCAAACAGATCCTCAGTCTTCAAATGGTCTTTAATATTCGAGCAAAAATATCTGAAATAATATCATTATCAGAATAATGGCTGCTTTCTTGTATTGATTTAAGGACGACATATGTCTCAAATGGTTTAGTATCTGTCATGCCAGCTGATGTGAAGGTTTGATTGATGAAATTAAATGTGTAAGCTCCTCATAAAGTTTTGTTTAGTTAATTAATTTCCACTAAATGCTTACAAATTGGATATTAAAATATCTCAATTTTTAGTAGATTTAAATTTGGTTGAATTTACTAAATCAGGTTTATAAGGTAAGATTTAGCAAATTATTTTAAATAAATAATTAAGCATATGTATTCTGATTTAAGGCTGGGAAATTTACCCACTCAATTTTTTTTTTTTTTTGGAAAATTTGACATTCTTTTGTTTTTCTAAGGGAAATGGTTATTTTTCTACTAATTTGTGCCTATTATTTTAAATATCCTAAAACTCAAAATCACGCAGTTGATTAAGGTCTACAACATAAGAGAGATATATATATATATATATATGGATTGAGTTTCATCAATATTCGTGTTGATTTAATGTTTAATCAAGAAATAGTCAACACCAGCCGGTGCTGTCTACCATCATTATCAATGACCCCCCACTTCCAACCGCCACTGACCACGACTCTCGATAGTATTTACAGTTTACATTACATTCATTTTACTTCAAACCAAATCTAAAAAGTAATCTCATACATTCATTTTACACTATTCCTAACATCCCCAAACTATTTCTTTTATATTGCATTTCTTTTTCAGCCAACCAAACATCCCCTTAAAGGGAACGTATAATTTTGATTTATAATTTTAATTATTTCATATTTTACTTATTTTTTTATAAATGATAAAATATGCATGAAAATAAATGCTTATATCCTCATACATCTAAGATCATTCACCAATGTCTTTTTAAAGTAAGATTCAAAGCAATTCTAACTAATTAAGTGTAATATTGAAAGAATAAAAAAGCATTTAGCTTCATTTGGGACAACTTTTAATCAATATTTTTTCATTACTTTCAATAAATTTTTAAATCCGAAGCATGATATCAACACAATGAATCCCCATATAATCTGAAGCCAAATATCTATCCACCACAAATTAATAGGAGTAAATCAACAACATAATTAGCATCACAATCAAAATTATCATATTGCAAAAATATTTAGCTGAAGATTTAGGTTTCATCCCAACTTTTTTGTTGCTTCTTAAAATAACTTTTTAATACAAAAAAAAAATTTATACTAAAAAGCTACTTTAATAAGCGACAAAAAATTTGTCCCAAACGAAACATTATTCTTGAATCTGTACATGTTCACATAAATCTTCTGACACCTTCAACCCTTTTGAGAAGAAAACTTCTCTAATTAGAAGAAAATTACTTCCAAGGTTTCTTCCTAACCAAAATTCCTCCGAACTTTCCTGTTATTCTGGCAGAGATTGAGATGAGAGAGAGAGAGAGAGAGAGAGAACATTTGCCAAAAATAACATATTGATGCGAGCCAATGAGCTTGGGTTTGAAATCAGGACAAGGATTTGAAGATATATTGTTGTTGTTCTTTATCTTCTGTGAAAGAATTAAGTGAAGTATTACATTATCTAAGATAAATAAATCAGAATAAAACAGTACTAATATATGATAAAGAGCACAGCCAACACAAACCTCATATACAAAAAGTTTCCGAAGACTTGAATTTTATCCAGCAGAGCTCATCCTCCCAGTTCATTCCCTCCTTGCAGCGAGAACCGACAGAAGAGAACCCAGTTCGAACTTAAAAAACAACAAAAATTTGTCATACTACAAAAACTCTGTTCTTCCCAATCTTTTCTGCCTCTAATAAAGTTAGATGTCTTATGCCATTTTCTTGTAACCATTTATCCTTTCCCTTCACCAATTCATGCCTGAGTTGCTTCTCCTCCATTCTCAGAAGCCTTGTTCCCTCACTCAGCTTAGGGAAAAAGCCTCCAGGTCTTAAACACCAAGCTGAGAAAACACCAAACAAGATATCAATATCACTTACAAACCTTTGAACACCGGCATCGGAAAACTTTGTATTGCTTGCAATAACTCCATTAAACACTAGCTGATCAACACCAGAGGCCACTCTTCTCCAGGTTCTGGTGAAGTCAATAGCATTCAACTCTCCTTCAAGCTTTGAGATCTTCTCTTGGAGATAGTCTAGAGCAGCAATGAAGGCTTTGAGGCCTACCCGGCTTTCGTCGCTCTTCTCCTGCCACTGCTTCTTGTTTTTTAAGTAATCTCGGCACCGCGCATCAAATCCCCTTAAAATAACTGTTGATATCTTCTCGGACCATTCATCTTGGAAGTCTTTCATTCCTTTGATCTCCTCGTCAAAGACACCACTTCCTTCAGCAGTTTCAATCTCAAGGAAAAATATGTCTTCACACCATTCTGTTAAGGTTGACTCACAGTGCCGGGCTGCATTGATGGAGCAGGAAACATTTATCATTGCATTGTCATCAGCCAAAGCAGTGAGACCCTCAGATTCCTGGCACCTTCTTAGCAAGCAATCTAAAAAGTCTTGGATTATGGGTGATCCTGTCGATTTTATGAACTTATATCTCAAAGAAATGCTTGGGAGAGACCGTGCTCTGTCAATAAGAAGCGAGAGGCATTCGAGAAAAATACTGGAGACTGCAGGAGACTTGTAATCCTGAGAGCCTGACATCAGGATAGTAACTTGAAGCTTTGTATTCCAGTTCTTCTCGATTTGTATTGCTGACTTTAGCTTCTCTAACATCTCTTCCCGTTCGATTTCCGCCCATATGTCGAGCCAATCTGGACAGTCACAGAATACAGAGAGAGCTGAGATGCTACGCTGGTTGTCAACTTCACTTAGTGAAATCAGTAAGCCTGAGTTTGCCAATAGAGACTGCATTCTTTTATCAAAAGATATCATCAGGTCTATCAGTTGAAGCCATGATGATCTCAACCTGTCAGACTCTATGTGCTCGGTATACTTGGGGAAGATCTCTTTAGCCAAATAAGTAGAAAGGGAGGCAACCATTGCAGATATCCACTCTTCCCTGCAGCTGTATCCAACAAGTCGTGCTTTGTCTACCCATGGTTGCAATATATCATCCATGGAATCGACATAATCCCTAGCGATCTTGAAAATGAGAGCGAAAATAAACTCGGGCTTGTCTAACCATTTGGAAAAATGAGGCTGTGTTGCTAGTGAGATTGGAGTCACTAGTTCCTCTATAACCCAGAGTGGTTGGTGGAGGTCTATCACTATGTTATAGCCCTCGAGTTGACGAGCCTTTCTACGAATTTGCAGCTCCTGCAAATGGCAAAGGGAGAGGAAACTTACACAATATTTTCCCTTTAGCTCTCCCTCCATTGTTAGGAGAGGATTGGAAAATTCTGGTGATTTCCCAGTGTTTTTGCCTGAAAGACTTGAACCAGCAAGTGGAGGGGGCCATCCAAGAGATGAAAGAAGAGATCGATGGTCTGCAATTGCCTGTGGCCGGAGAATGGCCAGAGCTTGGTCAATCCTGTGATCTACAGCTGAGACAAGACGAGACCACTGAGGCCTAGCTTTGTTAATAGATGTTAAAATGTCTTCGATCTGTTTCAGAGAGCTAATGGCTACCAGGTGAGTTTCCTGTGAAGGCAATGAAGCCCATGGAAACTGGTTAGTGGCATATGACTATACTGAGATTTACATTTCAATTTTAGCAAATGAAGGTCACCTCTGAACTCGCTCCCCGGGGAGATTTCAACTTTCCAATCACGGAAGAAGAAACAGCATCTTCAACATCACCAACTAGACTGTCGAGCTTTAACGCCGTTTCTAAATTATGTAAAAGGGTTTTCAATTTACACATCATTGCCATCCGTGGAAGAGCATAGTACAGGAAAGAGTCAAAATGGAAATTGTCCAGAAGACTGAAAAACCGTGTATGAGCATTCTATTTCAACATAAGCAAATACATACTTGCACGTGTATCTATTAGCATAATTATCATTCACTGAATAATTGCAATATTCAAGAAAACATAAAGTTCTGCTAGTTTTCACACATGTTTGTAAAATTTTACATTATTCACAAAAGTAGATTTAAAAAGAAGACATATAATAATAGTAATATGCCGAGAATGAACCATGTCACATTAGTCAAATTATTCAAATTAATTCTAAGCAGTAAAAATCACTAATAAATTGTTCCTCTTGGGGAATTCACAAGCATAGATCCTAGCATGCATACAAGTTAGTTTCTTTCAGGAAGCATCCAAATAGTAAATTTAGGCAACTCATCTTAACCTACATTGTTAAATATATGCATGGTTTAAAATTGCGCAATATGAGGCTCGCCTTGAGGCCCGCCTTTGCGCAATTCCAGTAAAAAACGCCTCGATGCTTACGCCTCTAGTTTTTTTTATGAGGCTTGCGCCTCAACTTGGTTGAGGCCCACCTTGAGGCCCGCCTCGCCTCACTGGCATGAGGCTTACGCCTCACGCTATATATATTAAAAATTACATAAATCTTGAAGTAAATGCCCGACATTGGACTCTATAGGAGAGGAGGAAGGGGAGAGAGCAGTTCATCATAATGATGATTCAAATGAATAGCCCCTTAGTGATGACAGTGCTGATGACTTGAGTTCTTATGTGATATGTCATTGCTATTTATTTTTGGAAATTGGAATTATATGTTAATGAAAAGAATACAGGGATTTGGGAAAGATAGAATTTTGAGTTGAACTATATTTCATATTGTCTTATTATTGGGATATTTTGATTTCACTTCATATCTTATATTTTTTTATGTTTTATATTATTCACTCATTAGAATATAAAAAATTTATCATTTTATATTTACGCAATCTTTTGATTTTGAGGCTTACGCCTCAAAACGCCTTGAGGCTTACGCCTCGCCTCACGAATGAAAAACGCCTCAATACCCGAATACGCAATTTTAAACATTGAATATATGTCATACAAGTTTATGATTTTACAAGAATCAATGAAGTGAACATATTTTATACAGGAGTCTAGATAATCAATATAGGATAAGTGATAAGTGAATTTAGTAGTAGGAACCATCAATTAGAAAAATACAATTTATAGTCACAGAATTTCAAGTATTTGATTCAGGCAATGGCTTTCTGGTTCAAGAACATGGAAAAATTAGTAGATCCACACTTCTATGTAATCCATGTCTCTTTAATACTTCGATGGTACATTCTGATGCCATAAACATGATTGAGAATCATTGCAAATACATGATTCAAGTTATAGCAAAAGAGGAACGGCTTGCTTGTAACAAGAAGAGACCCTTCATGCACTCATTCTTGTGTACTTTCTATTTTTTTACAGAAATTAAACCATATCACCAGATGAAATTGCCAAAGCAAGACATTCAGTCATAAATTTTATGAAATTGGTGCAGGATTTGATGAAATAGATAAACAAACATTAATAAGATAAGAAAAATCAAGCACAGCAGATGCAGAAAATTTTTGAAATGACACGTGCTTCCCAACCCAAACTACAACAGAAAAAGATTCAAGTATTTTCAAGCAATAGAAAGCAATTGCATAATTTGCATGCAGACGTTTCCGCTGAATGAAAAGCTAAATAAGAAATCCAGCTCTTAAGTATGGCATGATTCATGACAAGATGATGCTTGCAACAATATGCAGGTATAGTAGGCTCTGGTCTATAGATAGAACCATAGCAATTTTTTAATCCAATCACAACATCATTTAACTCAAAATTTTGAAGCCTTCATCACATTGATGACAAAATCAATGCTGTTATCACAGGGTAATTAATGAGAAAATGATGATAAGTCGTGTGAAGACTAATTCACAGCAGCTGCTGACCGCAGTGTTCAGATTACATTTACCCCAAGTTCTCATCTTCCGGACAATCTCTTTCCTCAAGGTATATTTTTTTAGCAATGAATGGGTAGCCTTTGTAAGGAGTTGGATTAAGTTTATTGCACCAGAACTCACAGCCCAACCCTGTGCCAATCCCCACACCTGCCAAGCATTAAAGGCCTTTCTTGGTTATTTTATTTTGGTGGTTGCATTAAAGGAGACGATTACCAGATGGAGAGACGTATTTCATAATGATTGATTGAATGGCCTTGAAAATGGCTTTTAAGCTCCTATATAGTTCAATGTGCTCGTGAAAGAGGTTTCATTTTAATCTGATCCCTCAGGGCAACGTTAAGGAAGAAAAAAGAATCAATCTTAAACAGATAAGATGTAGCAGCAAGTATCAGGTACATGAGTTAGGTTCTTGTCCAACGGAGGAGAGAAAGTAACGGTAAAAGGTCTATGTATGCTGCAAATATATCTATTCTATGCCAAAAGAAGCGAAGACAGTCAATAAGATGATAGGAAGTGCTTGTAGAAATTTAGGGAAAAGCTGAAATTTGATTTCAGCAATTTCAGAAAACCAACAACAAGAAAATTAGAAATAGAACACACAAGAACATTTTTTTTATTGAAAGTTTTATAAAAGAAAATATAAGATACAAGTGGATCTTCAATTAGAGAGGAACATCCGGCACTCCCAAATGTCTAGATGCTGCTAGAGCCCAAAAATCTATAAGAGATCTAAAATTTCAGCCAAATTCAAGATGCCCAAATCATAGGACAACAAACTATTTAATGCATACAATCCAAAAGGAAATCTCTAAACAGTCCCTACATTCAAATTTCCCTCCTAAACTCCGCCTAAAACTTTCCTAATATCCTCTTTTGAACTGGGTGGTTTGATTGGCATATGCAAGAGGCAGAGAAGTTCCACCTCTGTTGTCCATAAGCCAGTCCCGTATGGACCGGCTGGACCAGTCGAGTGGACCGGTCTAACATAAGACTTGGAGCATAATTTCTTTGCCAACAAAAGGATTAAAAAAAAAAAAACAACAACAGATCAACTTATCCCTGGTGAAAGGACATAACTGCTTTTCCTCATATTAATGTTCGACCCATCTAAAAACAAATTGGTATAGATGTAAACCAATGTTTTCCAATTTAAGTGTTATAAGATGAGAAAAGTATTCTTGATTTTTTCACAAGGATCTTGGTTCCATATGAATCCGGGAAAAGCAAAAATTGAAGGCATAAAAATACATTTATATATCTATAACATAAGGCACCTTGGAATACATGAATGCAAAAGTATATTAATGTAAGTGCCAATATAACAATTTATTAACACAAGCGGACCAGATGAAAATAAAATATCATTTACAAATATGGATTTTAATCAAATTGTGCTATTAGAAAGAACATATAAAATTAAGAAACTAAAGGCCCTACGAACCACTAAAATCACATTGAATCTGTTAAAATTTGAAACAGATAACTACCATTTAAAAACTTTCTATAATGTGTGTGACATGTTTATTCAGTTACCCAATTTTGTAAGTTATATAGGATGCAACATATGGTATAACTGACACGGTATTCTAGAGTATCCCATAATAAGTGAGCATTCGTAAGCATCAAGAGAATTTGACATTTATTTGGAAATAGCTGTGCTTCATAGATTGCTTGTAATAGACCAGCAGTGGATGAGGAGAAGATCTTAACACTAAAAATGTGAAATTCATAAGCAATTGTGTGCAACAAAAACCCAAGTAGTTATAAGCAATTGGACCCAGCATCCATCATTTGGAACCCGTTGGAGTTGCATCTTTGCTTCAATTGAAACATACTAGAAGTATCTACAATCAATTTCTAATTTTCAAGAATGTCTCAGTTGTAATTAAAATTAGAGTTTATACAAATATTTCATTAAATTTCAACTTCTCTCTCACAACCAATGACCATAAGCTATTGGCATGTGATGATGCTCACAAAGATCGCAGAAGGTGTTCAAGCTCGTGACAAAAGTAAAACTGTAATTACAAAGTGCATAAACATTATTTCCAAGTTTACATCGAGTTCATGACAAAATTGTTTGCACTATAATAGGCTAAATAGATCATCTTCATGCAATATAATAGCATGATAAGAATACATTTTTTGAGTAGTAGTCAAGCGCAGCGATTGTCCTCATGACACTGTTCAAACCAATGATCATGACCTATTTAAGCGCTAAGACAACTCACCACCCGTCCATATTTGTTCCAAACCTATTATGATAAACTGAAATTTTTTCACTCATGTAAAATATTATATGAAACCAACTGAGCACTATATTAAATAAATATGAAAAAAAAGTTATGAATATGATTGTGTCCCCTCTGACAACTCTGAGTGACGTTGTGATATTAAGCATCTGTAATTTGGATTTACATGAAAATAATTATAATTATAATTGTCTTTTGATCAAAATTACATACATCAAATTACAAAACATTCTAAAAATGCTAAAATAATTTGGACCAAATGCATGTGAAATGTTTCATTAGTATAACTTAATAAAAGTGATAGAAGGCTGTGGAAGTCGAAGGAGAACGGAAAAGAAAAAGGGTATTGAAAAGAGGAACCCAAGAGAAAAGAGAGAGAGAGAGAGAGAGAGAGAGAGAAGAGGCAACAACAAACAACAACAACATTAGCCTTTATCCCAATATATCGGGTCAGCTACATGAATTATTTTTATCCATTGTGTCATATTAAGAGTCAAATTCTCATTTAAATCTAATAAAAAAAGGTAAATTCTGATATTTTCTAATAGTTTTTTTAGGTCTACCTCTACCTTTCTTAACATAAGCTAAATATAATACAACTACTCTCCTAAACGAGTCATTGGAAGGCTTCTGTTTTATGTGACCAAACCATCTAAGGCGGCTCTCTCTAATCTTATCTTTCACTGGAGCTACTCCAACCTTTTCACGTATATGCTCGTTTCAAATACTGTCTCTAAGAGTAAAGCTACTCATACACCTAAGCATCCCCATCTTTGCAACACTTAACTTAATAATATTATGAGTCTCTTTGAATGGCCAACATTATGCACCAAAAAGCATTGTAGG